GGAGTAAATATTGGATTTTAATCAATTGGGTGTCAAAAAAAAGAGTCCAGATGAATGCTAATGTTGCTTTGTGCCTGATGAATGTGTATTAGGGCACAGTTTGCCAACACATTTGCCATATTGTCCTTCAGGTGATCATAAATTGTGTTTTCAGGTTGTTCCGCTGCCCACAAGGGGCCAAAACAGGAACAGGAGCTTGGTGATAAGTCTAGGTTGTCTTTTAAGTCACATCGATGAACCATCTATCCTAAGCAGTGAACATTAATCAATACTGTTATCATTAGAGCCTGGCTTTCCTTTTACATTATGTTTGCTCCAGCTCTCTCCATTAGATCATCAAGTCAAATCCTTGCTGAACCGTGGCTGACTTTGTCTTTGCTCTGGGTATTATGTAATTCGAGAAGCTACTTTCCTTGAGGCTACATTAACATACCAGTTTATAAGGAAGCATGACTTGAGAATAGCGAGGCATCAGGACTGAGGATGAGTGCGTACATGAGAGACAGAGAGTAAGTGTACATCCTCACTAGAGACATTCTAAGTGTGCAAGTATGTTCATGTCTGTCCAGCATGGTAGCAGGCTTTATATAGACAGTTCCTATAAAGGAGACACTGCAGCAGTCCCTCCAAAGGACTTCAGTAACTTAATATTTTAATGTAGCAGTTGTGAGGAATGTAATTACTCAAAATTGGAATAGTATCATTGAAAGTTGTATATTTCTAAGTGCTCCACGATACCAAAACCAACTGTGTACAGCTCTGTGGATAACAAAAGCCTCTTACACTGTACTAGTCTATTTAATGCTTCATCAAACATGTTTACATCTAGTAACTAAGGTCAATACCGATCATTATACGGTTGCCAGATTCAGATATTGCGTGAAGATATTTTTTATATTTTTTCAGATCGTTATGCCACAGGACAAGACTTGGATTGATTTATTTCTCCCATAATTAGAATGCGTCTCAGTGTGTGAATCTTCACACGTTGCCTCCACACTTTCATTAGTTACCATGCAACCATCATGGAGCAGGAGTTAGAGATAATTTCAGTACCGACAAAGACTCCAGTGATCAACCTTTAGTGCATACCTTTGGTGAAACCTTGTCTGATAAAAAGTTTGTGTGCCATGAAAGAGACAATAATGTGCCTTTAAAATGAATAATTTCATCATCCATTTAACAATTGGTACCATTTACATTACATTGAGTTGATTAAGGGGACGTTTCCCTAAGTGTTTTCGTTATTAACTGGGCAATAAATGTTTTAAATGGTGCTGTGGAAATCTATTTAAATAATACCAATTGTACTTGTTTGGGTAATGTCTACTGCTCATCGATTTAGAATCCAGCCCACCTCAGCAATAGACTTTTGAAGGCTCCTGTGAAATAGATCTAAACACAATGCAGACTTAATATCATTTCGAAGCTCTCAGGTCGGGATGAGATATTACGCAATCCTACATAAGTGCTTCCCAATTTTCCTTTCCGTGTATGATCAAATAGGAAGCCTTCCAGCCAACATCCATTACAATATAAACACGTTAGTGATATATAGTATAGGCGTAGTTATCAGTGTGATTCTATGCTTTTATAGCAGACAGACTTAATGTTCTGCTAAAGTGTGGAAATAAGTGGGTAGAGAAATCAAGGGGCTCTGAGTTTCACAGTTTTCTCCAACAATCAATTATCCCCTCTCGACCTTTATGTGCATCAATAATGGTATTTCTGCCTTTTGGAGGAGGATAGGAGTATTTCTTCCTCTGTCAAAACGGTTGGCTTAGGATTCAAGTGCTCAGGAGCTCAACCAAAGGCAAATATTGAAGAGTAAATGGCAGTGGTGAAAGTGCACAAAAGAGAATTTCTGGAAAGAAGGGAAATAGAAGAATCATGCCTCTACATGCCTCCTGTACATATATTTCAATTTTCCTTTGCCTGATGGGTAAATGAAGGCACGCTATGCCACTTGCCTTGGGTTGAATGTTTAACATGACATTGGTATTCAGTGTGAGTGTCCATCTCTGTATGTCCAGCTCTGAGTCATGCAGAATGAACTCTCAGTAGCACTAGGTACATGACCTTCTCTCCAACACCAGCAATGCTTCTGGCTCTCCACATGGTGACTTGTTAATGTCAGGGAGCTCTCTATCTCTCTGTCACATACATATAGAGGTGAAAATGTTGACTCCGAGGTCTTACACAGTCATATCCGATCCCTTTTCTTCCTCGAAGGCTTGGGACTTTGGCCCTGACACCCAGGAACCAGTGACCTTTCAGGGGGATGTAATGAACACCAGCCAGAGCGTCCTCATTACATCTCTGGCTCCGGGCCTAAGTGACATGTAATGTAGTTTTTAGACAATGTATATGACTCACTCATGCCAGCTATTGGTGCACATTTGTTGCCTTAGAACATAAAAAGTCACTGGTTGCTACATTGTTGCAGAGGCTCATATTTAACTAGGAAATGTTATGATGGGGTTTTGGAACAAGGCCCTACATGCTTAAGTCTAGGTTGTGAATTTGGACAACATAAGAACTGCTTACATGACAAATACTGGAGAGGACTTCACGTCCTCCAGGCCACTCACGCTTGAAGGCTTGCATACTTAGCTTGGTGATTCATCTAAAGCGAGCTAGAGGCCTGTGTTGTTTCTAAATGAGTTGCTGTTCTGTGACATTGGTAACAAAGTAAAACAGATGGTCTAAGACAAACCGCTATGCAGGTCCTTATTTTAATGGCCCCTCTGGAAAAATCAAATATATGCACTTTGTTATCACACATTCATGTCTCCACTTTTAATGCAAGGCCTTTAGCAGAGAGCAGTGTCGGTCAAAGAAGAATATATTGTTAATACACACCAAAGAGTCCCGCTGTGGCATAATGGCTAATAGGACACTGTTGGATACATCCTTCAGTGACATATATATCTCCATTATCCTCAACCCTGCTTCTCATCTGCTCTCTAAAGAAAGTACGCATGGTGTTTTATCCCGGCACCAAAATAAGTGTCAGACAGAGAGCCAGATGGGGGAGAGGAAATGGAAGAAAAGAAAGTGCTTCTACACCAGCTGCTATCCTGAAAAGTGGTTACATTTATAGGAAGGGGAGCAGATCAAAGATGCTGAAACCATTACGCACACATGTGGCCTCTTCTATTGATGAGGTTCCAATGGGTCAGGTGGTAATGACCCCCCTTTCACATTAGAGGGTGTTTAGTGGGCGAGAGCTGAAAAATAAATGGGATGATCAAAGACGCTCTGCAGCACCCGGCTTTGTGTTGGGATAGAGAGTAGGATTTTTTTGTTTGGCAATGTGTGTGGGTGTTTGAATATAAGCCCTGACGCACTTCTGGGTAGGAGTAATAAAGGATATACTCTTCACTAAGTTCTTCTCTGGAGGTAGTAGCCCTAAGAAGATGATAGCAGTAGACAAAACAATAAACAAGGCACAACCAACTTTGGACTGTCATGTTGGCTCAGTTGTACGACAAGTTTATTTTTTTTTTACCTCTTTCCTCAGTGTCTTCTTAAATGTTTTTCTTTGCCAAATGCTATCGAAAACAATAAATAACCTAACAAACTAAATGTATCTGTTGCCTGTATAAATCATAACAACATCTATAGAAAGAGGTATATATCAATTGTATGAAACTGTCTTTTATGCATTAGCTGATGAGGACGTGGATACAAATAGCATATTACATAATGCTTTGCTATTTACATCCTGGAAATGCATCCTGTGTCCACACTAACAATATGCATACTGTGCTTGCAGGCACTCCATCACATCACATAAACACAACGTTAGGCAGCTTTCAAGCTCTTGCATCGGTTACACAGGGTAAACATGCCTTAATTAAAGATTCAAGGCCACTGTGGAGGACTCTGCAGACCTGCATTGTGTGTATATGTGCTCGTGTGTGCTCCTGTGTGCATGTATATGCCCTAACGTTGTGCTGGTCTTCTGGGTAAATACATGCAAATAGAAATGGCATCATCTGTTCTCTCATCTCATCTCTACACATCATCATAGTTTACAAGAGCACAAAGATAACATGAGCAACAGCCTTTGGGTGCTGCTGCCAAAAAATATTCCAGCATGTAACCATTCCCTGAGATCACAACATGACTCATTTCACAGCTAGTTACACCAAAACAACTGCAACAGCAGGACATAAATGAGCAAAATGTAAAAAAGTTGTAAATTAAAACAGTAGAGGTCAACCACAGGAAGAGCAAAAATAAAATGACAACATATCTATCAACATCTCATGCATATTATTTCATAAATATCAATTTTTGCTCACCTTGTCAACTGTATTATTTGTATCAAAAGTGACCTTCCATGATGATACAATGCAGCCTTGAGTTTCTGTTAGCTAAAGTGCAGTTCTAACATCTCATCACTAGGAGGTGCAATTGTATGAAGCAAAACTTAATCTCCACTTCTAATATCCCCAGCTCTCAAGTTCCTACACTGTCACAATTTCTTGTTTAGCATTATAAACCAGCCATTATAACGTAATACAAAGAAAAGATAGTATCAAGCAATATGTGTAAGTGTTAATAATTGCAATGGTTGAGAATGGGCTTATACTATATATTTCCCTATAAAATAGTGGTGGTGGATTGAATTTATATTCCCCCAAATAATGGATTGTATGCAGTTATGGTTTAGAGCAGCAATCAGCATATACAATCAACAAAAAGCAATCACCTATGTCAGTCAATTTATTTCAAAACCCCAGAAGGGCTGAATCCATGCCCCAAAACAAATCAACCCAAAACAATTCGACCATTGCCTTCAAGTTTTCAAGCCCACATGTTAGATGCTAGTGATGGGGCGAACATGTACATTTACACAGAACTGCATTAAGAGGGGGTTTCCCCAGTGGTTTGTTTGGGTATTCCCCTACTAGGTTTATGCTTAGCAGGGATCATTAGTCCAGAAGAGTCCCACATGTTCATAGTGAAGGTGATCATAATGCACTACTTACCATATTGACTTCTGACACCATGTCTATGCTGGCTATGTCTATATTCATTCCCACTCCAACGGGAGGACCTAGGACAGATCAAAACAACGGTAAGCAACAGAGATATTGTACATCAGGTCCAGCCTGTATGCTACACTGACGTGTCTCTCACGATCAAACAATATCTACGTGATGAAAACACAGATTAACAATTGTGAGTTTAGCTGTTGTCAGCCGGATAATAGTTTATAGTGTTCATTTCGGGTAAAATAAGACGTGCTGAGCTGCGGCGGAAGTGTGGGAAATTCAGCTAAAAGTTGTTGACATTCAATACCTAGCCTTAAACATGCTTCCGTCGCAGTTAACACCTGGGTTGAAACACGAATGTAAACAAGGTTGGACAAATGTGTTTACAATTCCTACAGGGGTGCACTGGGTGTTGACAGCCACCTTTTTAATGTAGTGATTTTCATTCAAATACATGAGCTGGTGTAGCCTATTTTATCGTCCACCCTTCAACGCCACTCGTGTGTTTTTTCTATTAAATCGCTACTCTGGGTTGTTTTGTCACATTTTCCATTTGTCGTATCATATAATATCATAGAATCTGGTAGGAGTTGATAAGAAATGTATCTTTATTTTTCGGAAATTGCAGAGATAATCGAGTTATCCGTAATTACAGTGGCTAGTTAAACACTGCTATTATACGGGCTGACAAGGCGCAAACTCGAAGAGTTGGAGATAATACGAGTTCATTTACCTCCAAAATCTGGCCTCAATCGTATATCATAACCTTTCAACAGTCTATCCACTGTTTCTTTAACCACAGACATATTGCTAGGTTCATTGGCACCGGCACTATGGAAGAAAAGAGAGAGAAAAGGTGCACAGCAGGTTGATAAGCGAGACATTCTTAGACCTTAAAGTGTCCAAGTAGGCTATATACCATGCCGTCTGAAACACAGGCACACTTAGAAAAAAATGAGTGGAGAATCCTCCGACCCTCTCACTTACCGTTGAGCGCACATCACGGTCAATAGGATAGGGAACAACCAGACGTAGCAAAACCTAATTCTTCTTATTCTGAACACTGCCATAGTTTTGTTTTGTCTATTTTTCTTTTAGTGAAGACAGACGAGGTCCAACTTATTCTTGCCAGTGCAGTAATTCCAATGCTGGGCGCATGCGTATTCCCGACCACAACATCAAGAAGCAGCGCTGCTGCTGCCGGTGGTAGTGGCAGATGTAGTACCCAGCCACGGAGGAAATTTAAAGGAGAACCAAGAATACAAGTTACTCAGGGGCACATGGGGGTCTCCCTGGTTTCTTTACAAAACGATGTGGCGGTTTAAGAAGCAGTGACAGTCAACGGAAAGTTGGTGGTTCGAATTCACGGGGGTGAAATGGAAATGTGGGTGGGGTTGTGTCTCTCCGTTCGCTCTTTAGACGCCCGTCTGCCAAGTCATCTAGCTGTCCCTGAGCAAGGCACTTAACCCCGCTGTTCCACGCGAGCTGCCCGGGGGTTCCCTTCTGAAATCTGGATTTGACATATTTAAGTGCAGCCTACATGCATAATTATTTGAGCGCTGCGCAGACAGACACCAGAATAATTCAACTTAACTTTAGTTTTAAAAATCAATGCGTTTTCAAGCTAAATGTTTCCTTCCATAAGGTGGAATGCAAACATGACACAGAAATTAGGCTGATACAGGCCGTAGTGCCTATATTATTAGGCTTTACATCTGCATATATCATGTGTTCTTTGGAAAATACTAATAGTCAGTGACAACACCCTCCGTGCGTGGGTGTGAACATGCACGTGTGGTATGATGCCGAACAAGGGAGTTAAGCTGTTCTTGTAGTTTTTCTAAGTAGGCTACTGTCAGGCGAGTCCCACAGGGGAGCGGAGGGAACAGAACATATTCACAGTTTGCTCTCTCCTTCCATAAACAGAAAAAAACTAACAAAAAAACCTCACTATGAGTTAGTGACTCTGTCCATGGTGCTACAATGTATGAATTCCTCCTCTCTCTGACTCTGTCCAGTGTGCTGAATGTGCTCGCCTCTCTCTCTAGTGCTTTTCTCTCCATACAAAAGGGGGTTTCCGTGCTAGAAATGAATCCCTCCACCAACAGTTGCTCACGCATCGATTTCCAAGCACTCGGGCCTCTGAAGAAAACGAGAAGCGTGGCTTAATACTCTGAGCGACGCGGTGCCAATGCAGTGCCTCGGGGTTGGAAGCGGGATGCATGAACTAGCACTGAAGCCTGCACTTAGCACATCTCGCAGCCATGCACGCGTGTGGCTCCACGCACTGGTGAACAGGACGTGCACCACTATGTAAACTCAGACACGAATCGTCATGGATATGCTGGGAATCCAGAGGCGGATGCTGGAGCAGTGAGCCCTGTGGAGTCCTACAGCAGCTCCTGAGAGAGGAGGGGGACAGAAGGTATCCTATCAGGAAGATGTAACAATGTACTCAACTGTAAAAACACAGGAAACAATAATGACTGTCAATCATTTGATTCTACTTATTTACAAAAATAATTGTCTGTGTTTTACATACAAAATCAAATAGAATATTGCAACACATTTGACCTGAAGGGGGAGCTGTAAAATTTGAAGAATTCAAATGTTAAACAAAACTCAGAATGAATTGGGTTATAATCAATATTCTATTTTCAGGCCCATTGCACAAATTGGAAATATATCTACAGTGGTCGAGTTTACATTTTTTGAAAAAGATGATTTGGCATCTGCATTTTGGGCTTAGGATTCATGTTGTTGGTGGTCATGTATGTCAAAGAATCCAATAATACAGTATATGTGAATGTATTTATTATATATTGCATCCCATTAGTATGTGTGTTGCATCGTCAGAATGTCCCGCCTATGTAGATTTTTCTTGTGTGACTGAGTTATTTGAGAACTTGAGTATTTATTATAAATTAATTAGCTAATTACAAACCAAAATGGGTAAGTTCTATCATTTTTCTTGCAGATGTCTTGTTAACAATAAACAGTTATTTTTGGTAACTGTTCAAATTAGTTCATATGACACACATTTTAAGTTGCCATGCCTCTTGACTGAACAATAAGATATCTCTTCTATACAGCATGATGTTGCAAGCATGGGATTTAAAAACTAAACTCTCTGTATAGACAATGCAAACTTCATACAATGTGCAGACAGAGGAAAGTTGTAAATCAGAGTTAGTATTGTGCTGTGGTGCTACCTGGTTAGCCTCTGGGAGGAACAGCAAGAATTATAGTGTATTCCACCATGAATAGCACTCTTGACATTTGCTATATCTTTTCCTGAAACAGGCCGGCACTAGAATTCCCAATTACGTTACAAACAATATGAATGGACACATTTTAGTGACTGTCATGGAAAGCAAGACAACTCAAGTGTTTCTCGTGAGTGTTTTCCCCTGGAAACAAACACAATACACACAAACGCAAAAATACACAAACACACACATACATACACACACTCGCGAGCTTCCCCCAGACTAGTAATACAAACGAAAATATTTTCCCTCCGTACTACTTTGATCATTTGCTCCGCTAATAATCAATCAGATAAATGGATTCCAGAGAAGAGGAAACTTTGAAGGCCTTTTTCTCAAAATGATGACTCGGTGATAGTCATTATATAATGTGACATATTTTGCTTAATATTTGGAGTACAACAACAATCCTGATATCATTAGAAAGGTATGAATATCCTCTTTCCAACAGTGTATACAACTCAAAATGTGTCTTCGGGTAAATGCGACTGATTTCGATAGAGCAGGTCACATATTATGTGATGTACAAAGTTTGGTTTTGATGCATTTGAAGGTCATTATGAACATCCATTAAGGCATTATAAACGTGACCTCTTTTAGCATGCATTTGAGAGCTCACTAAAATTCATCAGAGGGTGAACAGATGGTGGAACCATAGAGCGCTTATATCACAATATTGTGAATACATTTTTTTTATTGTAACCCTTGAATGTCAGTGGGTGGATGTTCAGTACTGAGGCAGGCAAAGAAATACTCTAATCTGCCATGTGGTTTTTAATGCCTGATTTACTGCATTGTTTAAACATTCCAAAAAGAGCCTTAGGTCACCTCTTTTATCTCTATCCATGTCTGTTTTTATTTTTGCACTAAGAGAGAGTATAGTGACCGACTTTTCTGAGTGCCTTAATAAAATACCATGCATTTGTAGGTGGTTGTGTACTGATGAATAAAAAAGGATGTCCACAACATTGGGTACAAAAGGTTTTTGGGTTAGTTTTATGTAAGTAAATGGGTTTGTCTTGGCAAGATGAGCAAAATGAGCATGTGAAGAGAAGACACTTTTGATGTCTCTCCTGCCCTACACTGTATGTGTGTTTGGTGTGTGTTTCTGTGTGTGTGCTAGTGAGGGAGAGTGAGTACTCTTTGCCTGAGTACACAGATAACACATCTCAGTCCATTGTCTGCCATAACATTGACTGTTTTGTTGCAATAAATAACCAACATGACGAAAACCCTCAAATATTGGCTTAAAATGTCACAGAGTGATTAGTTGGGCATAACCGTTGATGTCATAAGCTCTTGATTTTCACACATAAATACACATAAACACACTGTCAGGGTTTACCTTTGATGGACCAGTCTTTCTGCAGTCCAAACATTGTAAAACTGGAAATAATGTTGTACATACATTGTGAGTAATAGAAGAACAAAGACACACATAGCACATCATTTCAAACATTTTAGAACAAATAAGGCTTTTCTAATCAAGCATTGAGGCACTTTCTATGATGTTGTTGCTCAAGGATTTACGTGTTTTGATTATATTTAGGTTATTTGATTATATATGTATTTTTAAAAATACACTTATCAGATTCATATGTATTATGATGTGAAGTTTATCCATGTTAAGTTGTGAGGCTAATATTCAATTTCTTCCCAGCACATGACTAATTAATGAATTTCTCCTCAATTAAATTGCGCTAAAGCTGTAATAAACCTCACCAAATATTTGCGAACTAATAGAGTCAAAGCTATCATCTTTTATTTATTTACATAATTCGACCATATCCAGAGGGAGGAAGGTAAGAGAAGAGAATGGATTACTGCGCAGTGCTTAATACACCTCTACAGCTCGTGGTCTTACTGTGGAGTTTGCGCCTGGTCTGTTCTCAGCAGGTAACACTTCCCTTGGATCGTCTGTCTGATATCCATCCAACCCCACAGAGATGGAAGGGCAATATGCCAAAGCACATGGCCAAAATAAGGAAGCATCATTTCACCCACTTACTCTCATAGCTGTGCCTTTTATATAGCCTTCAACAGTGTAAAGATACAATACATATTCAGGTATGTGTGCGTGCATTTACCATTCTATTTGGCTTATAACTCATGAAGATGCATTTCATGTTTGATGTAAGTAATAATCTTAACTTAGATATATAGTATAATCAAACTCAATTTGCCAGCCATAACGAGCGTTTGTACTGTGCCTTTCTCTTTAATTAAAACACCTCTCTGTATTTCTCTTTTAGGTGTTGCAATTACAGCATTGACATTGCTGATTAGCGCTACTTAACACAGCAGGAGGACTCTATTAGAGGCTTATGGAAGATTTAAATGATAGCCTTTTCATTATTGACAAGAGGAAGATTTAAGTCTTTGAGAGACAAAATATATTCAGAAAATAAAATCAAGAAAACTGTAGTGTAATTAAAGCAGCTAGGAAATGACTGGTCTTCATTATTTATATTATTTTGTTAAGGCATCTTTTCCAGGGCAGGAAATACAATTAACCACATACCTACAGTCATGTAGTATTGGAGGTAATATAGACTGTGTTTCTCTTTTGCAATTTTAACGATTGGTCTGGTTGGGATTTGTATATATATATGCAGTTGATTACAAAGCAATATATTTTCCAACGATATAGCATATAAGCATAAAGTAGCCTAGAAAGCAAGTACAGTATATGAGGGTATGGGTATCTCAAAATTGTACTCGAACGACAACTATAGTTTAATGCATGTTTGGTTTAGTAAATTATATTGTTCATAACATAATAATCAATGAAGTTATTGCTATTGTGAAATCTAAGGATGTTGTGACATTTCTAAAATGGGTTATATTGGGCAATAAACAAGCTGAGAGTTTAGCCAGATAAGCAAAACTAGTTGTTCTCAACTGGGGGTCGGGCTAATGTAAGAGAGTTGTGACTCTTCTGATTTCTCAACGGTTTTCTCCTAAACAGAAGTTGACTGACTTGATTTGGAAAAAATATGCAGTGAGTTGGTCACCGCAAAGTAAAACAGTAACTGTCTATTCTATCCAGCCTGTTTACAACCTGTCTGATTGTCACCTAGGTGGACCAATTTATTTTTTTGCATTTCAAGCCATAACTTTTGGCA